ATGGTTTTGAATATTGTGTGTCATTTTGAAACTTTGATCAAACCATTGCAAAACTGCAATATGATCATGTCATATAAAAATAATCAGGAAAGAATGCAGATTTATGAGATAATAAGTTTTGATGCCCCTTTTATGTTTTTTCTCATTTAAAAAAATACAATTTCCTTTAAATGGAGAACATCTTTAGCTGAGAGTACAAAGCTGTTAAGGCTAAAAAATTCTCCAAAACTAATTTTTTTTTATGTCAGACCAACTACCAATGAAAGCTAAATATGGAGATTAAAGACCTTGGCAAAACATCAAGGATGTAGAGGAAGCTCTTGGTTCTGAGGTCGTGAATGTCCCCCTGAAGACCTATCCTGCATGGAGAAACAACAAAGGCAGTGATTAAGAAAAGAAATATGATAAAGAAAAAGAAAGTCTGGCAAAAGCCACGTTGGCTGTTTTATTATCTAATAACATGGCGAGAGATTGCTGGGAGAAATAACATAATCATTGGAATTTCTTTTGAAAAGGTTGAACTTTCATTGTGTATTATAGAGGACGAAGTGAGCAAGCATGTTAGTATTTATTTGCTGCGCGGAGTCTCCACAGCAACAAGCATGCTGTTGTGTTGTTAGGAAAGAGCAGTGTTGTTTCATGGGCACCTTTTTTTTGTTAGCAAATGTTACTTTCTTTTGTCATGGGCGAACTGTTTATTGACTGGAGCCATAATGTCTGTTTTAAAGTACTTTCAGTGTAAAATAGGGAAACTCATGGTGAGGTTTTCAGAATAATTATGTGCACACTGTTTTGGGTATTTTAAAAGACCAATTGAATACAGATCGTTGGGATTATTTGACATTTTGTATGTACTGGCATCAAGTTCTGCAGCCATTTTGAGCATTGCAATTACCAGCCTCGGGCCATTTCTGTTATTTCCCACTAGTCACTAGTTCCCACTAATTTTTTTCTGGCAGTTCATGTCTTTCTTTTCCAACAAGAAGTGTTTCTTTAAAGGTCCAGTGTGTAAGATTTAGGTAAAACCTATTTGCAGAAATTTAATGTAAAATAATTCTCATGATGTTTTCACTAGTTCGTTTCATCTAAATTGTATGAATTGTAGTTTTCTTTAACCCAGAAAAGACCCTTTATATTTAAATACTTTATATATACATCTAGGGGGTCCTCTCTACGGAGGCCTACATGTTTTTTACAGTAGTCCAGATGACACAAACTAAACAACTTTTTAGTTTTTATGACAACTGAAGCTACGACAGGTTCTTTTTCATGTTTGGAAGGGGAGTGTGAGGTTAGGGGTGTTCAGCTGCAACATGAAATTTCATCACTCCATATCACTAAATTCTACACAATGTACCGTTAACGATGCACCCATCTATAAAGGGTTTTTTATGTTGCCCTAAAATCCACTGCCATCTGAGAATACAGACCAGTGCTTCATGGTTGGGGCAGTTTTCTTCAGCTTGCAAATCCCCCCTCATAACACATTCCACAAATGATTGGATTACAATGCATACAAAACATATGAGACTTACCTGGTGAAAGGTTGGCAAGGAGGGCTCATCAAAATCATGTCAAAAGATAATTTATTAAAGTCATCTAGTGGTATGCCCTAAGAGTTAACAAAGAAAAAGGATCAAGTTTTAAAATTACAATGTTAGAAGACGAGCTCATACCATTACTTTGGATTCATAAGTCATTACACCCCTATATGTGTCAGTGAGAGTATTTCAAATAACTTGATCATCCATTTCAACGATGATTGAAGGATCACAGAGTGGCTAGATTGGTGCTGGTCTGTAAACCTGATCATCAATACACTGCTATGTTTCCCACATGGTATGAATTCCATACCACTATGCTATAGCACAGGTAAAGCAACAGCTGTAAAATTTCACAAGGCAGCAAACTGCATGAAATTGTTTGTCACCAAGAGTGCATGGACTGTATTGAGACAACAACTAATTACCCACAAGTTAGTCTCTTTAACAGGATAAATCTCCACAGCACTCACAACAATTTGCACACTGCAGTATTACACCACAGAATGGCACATTGGGGATGGCTGGGGAGAGCTACCCATAACATTGTGGGAAGAGGCTTTGTCCCTAAAATAGATTGAAGAACAGATAACAGAGAAGGATGCCTCAGAAAGTGAGAGCAGAGATGCAAAGGAAGAAGAAAAAAGCTGTTTCAGCAGACTGTAAGAAGAACTAAAGGGTCTGTGTACGCTAGACACTTCAACTGGGTTGAAGGAATGTAAGTTACTAGTTGTATTTTTCACCACAATCAATCTGGAGTGTCAGTTTAGACTTCCCATAAATAAGCTACACAATTCTTTTATATAATCAACCGCTCACAGTGATGAATTTGACCTGGAACAAACGTGATCACTAGAAGTTTCCACAGTAGAATTTAGTCAGGGAGATTTGATGGAGCTGCCTCTCCATCGGCTGATGAGTGAATTTTTATTTTTCGGTGAACTATCCCTTTATGGACAGAGGATGTCACACCTTGTTAAGCCCTGTGAGAAGAAGTGTGATTTGTGAATATGGTCTATACGAATAAACGTTGATTGATTTGTCAACAATTTCCCCTGTTTACAAAAGAACTGTACACATCTAAGCTACACCTGAGAATGAGCACATTAATCAATATGAAACTTGTTCCTTACTTCCCTACAGTAAAGAAAATCCCTTGATCATATACTATATGATATAACTTGAATTTAAATTATATGTCATATCATGGCTTATAGTGGCTATCAAGCTATCAAACTATCAAAAATCTTGAAAAAAATACCATGCAAAACATTTTGGTTGGAGTGACCACCACTACACTGTTGTCGAAAGGAAATACAATGCTGACAGGCAGCTGCAGGTTCCAGACTAGTTGGGCTGTGTAGACAATTGAAATTTTCTTACGTTCAAATGCAAGAAGCCATACCTGTACCCTCTACTATCACGCACCTCTATTGTCTTGTTCCACAGCGGTGTGTCAGGGAAATTGTGCCTGTAGATCTGATTGGTAGTGGTGTTTATGTCGATAGCAGCCACCACCTGGCCAGGTATGCCACTCTCTGGAGAAAAAAAAAAGTAGATGTTATAGAAAAGGATTTTCTAAACTTCATTTAGCTTAGTTTCATTACATACCTTCAGCTTCACAGTAAAACCCTGTGCATGAAATTGCATAATTTATAACTACTTTTATTTTCTACCCTACTGAGCGACAATGCAAGTTTACAGGGTTATCAGGGGTAACTTCAGGGGTAATTTTGTTTAGTCAGGTGTAACTTCCCATTAACCTTTATTACAAAAGGTGGACAGGACAGGTTTAACCCAAGGTATCCTGCAATGTAAAGTTATGCTGCAAAGTTTTGTATCATAATTATACTGACCAAAATTATCATGGATATCATTATTATTGCAGTGTGGTTAAAATGTGCTGTAAATGTTGAAAACTTACTTAAACACAAGTTATAGTAATTTCACTAAACTTTATATTCAGTTAAAACGTTGATAGCATTTTTATCGAAGGTCGACAAACTGTTTTACGTGAAGTGCAGACGTAGTACAAGGTACACCATTTCCTCTAGGATTTATTTAGCACCCCGCTTTCCCAAATAAATAAAATGAATGAATTAGTTAATAAAATCAACAGTGGTGTAATTTTTCTTATTATATTTGATTATTTCCGCATCAATGCACTCAGGCTTGTGTGATGGTAAACTCTAAGTATAGTAGCACCACTGTACGAGTTTAGATAATTTCACAGATATGAAGCCTAAACTTAGTCCTGGATCAAAATAAATTTTGATTATTTTATCCTGGACTGGACCTGTGTCCATGAAATCACATACAGTAAAGTTTTGTGTAAAGTACAAGACAAGCTAGCATAATAAATATTATGAAGTCGACAATAGCAAAATTAAACTCAAACAAAATCAACCTAGCTTGGGTTTCCACCGTCTCAAAATCATCAATTGCGGCTGGGACAAGACATGAGTGACGAGTGTTACATGTGTTACGGTCATATTACTGTCATATGTTGCTAGGGTTTTAGCTAACACGTAAGCAGAGCAACCACGTTAGCTCCTAGAAGTTATGTTTACAACTATTAGCACCCTGCTTTTGTCCACACCGAGTAAACTAACTCATTTATCGACTGCGGTCGGTGTGACCAGCAGACTGTGTCTGGCCCGAGACACTGAGTTGTTCAGCGCTTGGTAATGTGCTTCAATAAAAGACAACGTAACAGTGGATCGGTTTCCAACCAATGTAGTGTAATACTTGAATCAAGATAAAACCGAGATGACATCAGCTCACCCTTTAATGCATAATGCATCCCTCCTATTCCACTGTAGAGTTCGAGCACCCGCAAACTCTCCATGGTACAAATGACAACACTTCTGTGCGCCGTTTAATCTTATTCTTAATGCACAATTGATGTTGGCAAACAACGAAACTGTGCACGACCGCCACCAAATGGCGTGGAGCACTTGAATGCGGATTCGTCAACTAGATTTACCTCACCACTGAACACACACGCACACACTCACTCACACACATTATGTGTGTATTGTAATTCTATTGTGTCTTTAGTGAGGACACTCAATGCAATAATACATTCCCCAGTCCCTCACAATAAATTTAACGATCACAGCTAAATTTCTAAAATAAATTTCCCTGCAACCCTGAAAAAAAAGGTCCCCTCATACAGCTCTACCGGCTAAATTATCCCCTTTCCCAAAGTGTCCTCACTCCAAAAGGTAAATTCTCAAAATGGCCCTCACAAAGATATAAGTATGAAGTACCTACAAGATGTTACTGAGCACTACGGTTGTTTCAAATGACAGCATCAAATCTCTAAACAAAAGTATGTTTCTTTTCCACAATATTTTTATATACATTTTTAACATCCTGAAATACAGCCTTTTACATTGACATACTACACCACAAATTATACAGTTGCTGTATTAACACAAAACAAAGAAAAACCAAACTACACTAACACAAAACAAAGATGCTTCTCCTGTGTGAATAACTGGTAATCTATAGAAAATATGATGCAAGCATATTAGTTGCAGCAAATGCAAACTATAGAATATTTATTAATATTTATATTTATACAAGCTCCGACACTGCATTGTCCACTGCATTGCAAGGATTAGTCATTCACTTGATCAGCTGTTAAATCCAAGTCCTTAACATAAGTAATGAAGGGTCCCCATATACTTTCAAATATATGCTGTTTGGCCTTCAATATGTAAGTTATCCTTTCTAATGGAAGGCTTGATAACATCTCTCTCATACATTGAGTACTGCTTGTCCTGTGAGCATTTTTCTATAGCAGTGTAATACATTTTTTGGCGCAATGCAAGTTGAGGTCTATAAATGCTCATTCATTCTTACCATAGTTATGTTTCTCTGCATATAAGCCCAGCAGAAAAAGTTTAGGTTCTAATAACACTTATTTTGAAATCATCCTATCCATTGTAGCTATTATTTCTTCCCAGAATGTTTACATTTTTCTGCATTGCCAAATACAATTAAACAATGTTTCTCTAGTTTCCCTACATTTTGTGCATATGTCTGGTTTGTTTTTGTTGTATTGATTTAATTCCACTGGTGTTATATATATCTGCATTAACCATTTATACTGTATTAGTCTAAGGCATGTATTTATGGACTTAGTGTGAGTATGAGCACACGCTGTTTTCCAATTAGAAGTATATTTTGAGTTTTTTGTTCTCACAATTTTACTGGTCATTATGTCTTTGTGAACTAGTATCTACATGGATGCAGAAGACAAACATGTTTCAAGAATAACCCTAACCCTAACCCTAACACTTTTAATCTGTAACTCTTCTATCCACTGATACTGTAATTGCCAGCATCTTGGCTGTCTATACAAAAATGATCTGATGTTTTTATTAATGGAGACTTGTAAGGCTGGAAGACCACAAGCTTAAACCATAGTTGCATCCATCAGTGTACACTGATGTGTGATGCAATGTTTGTAACCTATCTTCACCCAAGATGCAATAATGAATTTTATCCAAAATAAAGAAAAAATGCTGAGGTAAGAACCTGGCTGTTATCACAGTTAATCATACTGCAGGTATGTATTTATGTCATGTCTTTATCTTCTTTCTCACTGCTTCATGAACATTTTTCAACAACTAGTTGTGTTTTAAAGATGTAGATGTAACAAAGTCTTTGCTGCTGAACTATAACCAATACATCCATATTCTAAGATGGATCTAACAAGCACTGCATTCACATTTTTATTGCAGATCTGATCTGCTCACTCCTGATTTTGATATGGTTGTATTTTATCACACTCAATATATTTTTAAACTTGCTCATTATCTTTTGAATATGTTCATCTGGATTGATATCAAACTCAACTGTTAATATATTGTCGTAATATATCAGCTGTACATTGAGGTATTTGTAATAGATTACCCTATTTTTGTGTGTTGATGGTCTTAATTTATTTATATTTTTCAATTTTCCAAAATATTACTTTTTCCTGTGTTGTCTTTAGCTGTAAATAAAGTTGATTGCATTTTTTTAAACCCTTCTTGGAACTGAGGATGCATATCTTTTATTTAATGTATGTACGTATGTATTTTTTCCATCTTTCTTCAGTCACTGCCCACGGTTCCTGTGACTGACGGTGTATCGGACCAATAAGAGAGCTGCAGAGCCAACCCCCACGGGTAAATTCCGCCTCGTGAACGTTTACCGTAATGGCCAAACTCTAAAAACCGAGAAACACAGAGTGGAATTGAGAGGCTAAAACCTATCTGCATTTCAAATTGTAACCGAGACATATACTTAAATTCAGCAATCGGGAGTTGCAGTTTGTTGGCTTTTTTGTGGCCAGACCTTGAGACGAGCTGTCTGTCTCACGAGAAGATGCAGCTGAACCTTTTATCTACAATCTTTGGGCTGAACCGGCTGACGTATCCTATTATGGAAGAGTGGCTCTCGCTCTAACTTCCGGTAGGGTGTGCGCTCTAGACGGATGGTCTATGAGGAATTTGTGAGCTTATATTTTTCTGTACTCTTACCAAACGGTAAGACTGCGCAGTACTGTTTCTTGTCTAAGCGCCGCCGCCCACTGTTTCTCCCGTAGCTAACGCTGTTGTGGTTGTCTGTCATTTAAAGTTACTCTGTGCGAACAACGGGGTTTCCGACCTTACGCTGTTTCCAAAAAATGTCTAAGTCTTTGAAGAAGATAGTGGAGGAGAGTCGGGACAAGAACCTCCCAGAAGTGGAGATGTGTGACAGAGGCATTTCGAGCATGCTGGACATCCCAGGACTGTGTAAGTGAATGTCTTGTAATATAAATGTGCTGCTATTCTTTCAGTACTGGTTGAGTCTATTATAATCATAGTATATTACTAATTATAAACGGCATACCATCAATATAAATGAGTAAACAAACGAAAGTGTTCATCAGTGCTGCAGGTCGTTGCTGTGTTGATTTGATGTCCCACTTTGTTTCAGTCACTCTGTCCAACATCACTCAGCTGGTCCTCAGCCACAACAAGCTGGCAGGTAAGCTTCTCCCTCCAGTTTCAGACTTTTAGGCCCATACAGTTCAATTATTTTACAACAGGCACAGTCTGTTACAGTCACATTTGTTAATGTTGTAATTGGGGCTGACCTTTTCAGAAACAGTTTATTGCATTACAAGTAATGCAATGGTATATCCACCAGCAGAGATCACCACTGATCCATCAACTCACTCTAACTAACATTTGTGTTAATTGTTTCATGAAACATTCAGAGTAGAATAAAACTTTGGTTGTTTATGAACATAATTTGTATGCCATTCAAATATAGAATGGGATGTTATTATTAAACTATACAATTAGAAACATTAATACATTCATATTTGCACTACAAGCTCTGCTTTCCTGGTAAATAAGTAAAAGAACAGAGGAAAAAATAGTTACAGCTACAATTGACTGCACAACAATATTATCTATGGAAACAGATTCATGAGGTGTATTGATAAACCTGTTTTCATCTCTACTCTCTGCTGTGACGTCTGTCTTTATTTGTCATTACTTATCATATCACTGTAGATTAGATGATTTAAAAGCAAAACATATTTAGATTTATCTAAAATTAAAGGGTCATTATTAAATATATCACAAACCACATTAAATTAGAAGCAACAACTTCAGGCAAAGACCAAATAAAGAAAAAATATAATGCCAAAAAGGAATGTTGAGGTTTACTAATGATTTATAATTAATATATTATAGATAGGTGCATCTATCTATTTTCATCAGATAGATGCATCCTTTCACTAGTGTTTGCTGATTCAATGAGTCTGATGTGTGTGAAGTCCAGATCTGACACCAAGGTAACATAATTGGCTTATTGATCTGCAGGCATATGTATGATGACCTTTTCTCAAGGTATGCTTAGTAACTTCACTGCATCTACTGTGATCATCACAGGTGATCTGACCACAAGTGAAAGCTCATTGATGATGAAATTTATATCCAATCTCAAACCACCTGGGCAGCATCTGTGATCATTCTATTAGCTGTGTGAACGTAAATGTGTCATTGGCCAGACTGAAGGAGCGCCTACTTGGCTGACATCCTCTGACCCCCTACCGTTTCATAATGAACTGAAATTATTTCCACACATCTCAGGACTCAACTTCACATTGCTGACTGCTGAGTCCTGACCTGAGCCCTGAGCTGAGGAACTGGCTCGCCTGTGCCATGCATTTATGAAGGGGGTTGTTTAGTTTCACCAATGTATTGGGGTTTTCAACAAACACCACATTCCAGTACATTTCAAACCTACCAACACACGGAGGCAGAAACTGGTCCACCCCAAAGACAGAACACCCAGACATAAGGAGAGCAATGTAGTACATGAGGATTGCACAGACCTTTACTTCTTTCTTTTTTTTTTAAGCACTTGGATACTGATCATCATATATATATACATGTATGTACATGTATGTACATGTATGTACATGTATGTATATGTATGTATATATGTATTTGTGTGTGTGTGTGTGTGTGTGTGTATGTATGTATGTGTGTATGTATACATATTGTAAATTTATTTCAGGACAGATACTAATACCTGGTCTGCATAGTCAGTGCCACAGCTCCTCTGTTCCTTAACCCAAGACAATACCCCTGTAAAGAACAAGAACTGAAAGAGCTCACTCAGTCAACACTGGGATTGATTTTTAAATTTGTTTTAACTTAAACATTTCAGAATCATTTTCTTCTTTCAACTCTGGTGTTCCCAGAATTTTAAAGGGCTCAGAAATGTGTTCAGAAGAGTATTTTTATTACATGATTAAAGTTTATTTAATGATATGTCAGTTAAGTGTTTAAAATGTGTGCCATGGTTGGGGGACAAGCTAATTTCCAATGACTTGAATTGAAAGCTGAACTTTCTAATTC